GTCCCTTCCAAACTCAACCATTCTGTCATTCTGTGGTTACTTACAGAAACTTAGGTCTCTTGATTGAGTTTCTCTCTGCTGATGCATCAAACCTGGCCCTAGTAGGAAGAGGAGAAATCTCTCTCCTTTAACCCCCTGTCTTGGACTGAACCATGAAGTGCTTGCATTGCTGTTGTGGAGATGAGAAATAAGCAGTGAAGCCATCAGGTCTTGAGCTCTGTAATACAAAGCAGCTACTTTTACTAATAACTAATCTGAGGGAGGGGAGCTCTGGATAGTCAAAAGGTGAAGAGGAGAAGGAAGAGAAGCTGTGTATGATTTTCTCAGCTTCCTGAACACTTGAAACACTTTCTTGCTTTATTTAGTTAGTATTTTTGCTAGTTTAGCAAAAGTGTGAAAAGCTCTGTGCTGTTTATCTACTACAGTCAAGATACAGCACTTTAGCTTTTATTGCCTAAATGTTTCTGGTGTGACCAACGCTTTGAAAATGAGGATTTGTACTGATGAGTGGATTTGTGCTACAGGCAGCCTGAGGCCTTGATAACTTCACACTCCTGTCACTGCCCCTAAGCACCGTAATTCTGGCTAAAGAATCCAGTCTGCTAATGAAGTTTGCTTGTAAGCTTGAATGACAAGAACTAGCGAGCCGGGTGCTGGAAGCCTTACAAGATGCTCTTCTCAAGGCAGGCATGCCTTATGCCATATTTGAGCACTCTGATCTCTTAGTAGGAATTGTTAGGCTATCACTGAAAGGCTCAGGAAGTCCAGAAGCAAAATCAGATAAGATTTATCAATCAAATCAACTTAGTTTTTAAGCACTCATCAGCTTCTTTCTCTTTTTCCCACGATCTGTGACCACAGGGTTTTACAAGAATCTCTTGTTGTTCTGTGGCAGTTCTCCTGCGGGTTAGGCTGAGAATGTTGTTCAAGCACAGAACTACCGGGACAACCCTGTCCTCACGACATGCATCATGTATGCTCTATTTAAGAAATGGCAGCAACAAGTCTCACGAAAATCTCTGTAGGCTTCATGAAAGCAGCCTCTGCACTGGTCCTACTCATAACAGCAAATACTTTTCCTTCTAAAACAGTAGCATCCCAAAATGGAGGTCATAGCTCAGTAGCAGAACCAAGATTTTAACTTAATCTGCAGCTTTTAAGCATTTGACATCTACTATAAAGTTCAAACACCGAGTCTGGGCATAAGTGGAATCAATTTTGATGCTTTTATCTGTTTTTACCAGTAGATAGTATTTAATATTACATTATCAGGAAAGCACTGAGAAAACAGAAACTGGGTTTTGGGGGAAGTAGCTACAACTGCTACAGATGGCTGTTCTCATGACACTTGAATGGAAGTGATAACCTTCTGGACCACCAAGACATTCTAGGAGGGCATATCACTATGTCAGCAGCAGCATTTATCAGCGTAAACTGAGAGGACATATACATGCAGACAAGCCTTGAGAATAAAGTGATATATTCAGCAGCTTGCCCCCCTCATTATATGATAAGTAATAGTGTGCCTAAATGTATTTCATTTTATGCAATTCCTGTGAAGACAAATACTTTAATGAAGTGTGCCCCACTTATAGAATTCAGCACGGTCAAGCATAGATGACATTACTTAACAGCATGAACAGGTCAGGTCTCTCAAATCCCCTCTACGGCCTCATTACTGAGTAACAAAAGGTTCCGAAGCAGTGAGAAACATTTACAAGGTGATCTAGATCTGCACATGATGCTTCTGCCTTCCCAGGTCTTTGGGAACACTCATGGTTACAAGCCTGCCTTCTCTTAACATGGCCAGCTTCTACTCTTGTTCTGTACTTTCATGTTATTTTCCCCACAGAACATCACACTGCAAAGCCTCAAGGCAGAAAGTCAAAGACCAAATAATGTAATTAAAGGGGAATATTGTCTTGCTAAGAGGAAATAACATCTGCACTTCACTCTGCTAGGCAGATTACTGCAAAAACGGCTCCAGCATGTCAAAATGTGCAAGGAGCACCTCACCACTACACTTGCTAAAAGAGCAGCATCACTGCAGAGACTGCAGTATTTCTTTGAAACTAGCAAAAAAAAAAAAAAAAGGTCACGGGAGAACCTATACCATGCTTTCAAAGGAAACCTCAGTATCTGAGTAGTCACTTGCATTAGCCCAATGAGCCTTCCAGATTTATACTCTGCTGAGTTTTAAGCTGATCAACTCCATTTAAGAACTACCTGATGACACTGAGAATACAGAACGATTATGTGAGTCTTGGAACGCCCTCCAGTGGAAGAGATTAATGAGCAGAGACAGGCTCTCATTTAGAGAGAAAAAAAAAAAAAAAAAGGATATTTTTTAATGCCATTTCCTACAAATCAGCTAAGTATACTCTGAGGAACACAAAAGCCATTCACTGCACTACAGCCAGCAGGTCATAGCCAACACTACGAACTCGCTGACTGCAAAACATGTTACAAGGACCAGCTCATGACAGAATGGATCTGAAAATGGGGAACTGGCGGCTGTATGAACTCAGAAAGTTGTATTCTTTTTCAACTTGTGTTGCATGCAGATATTTGCTCTACAAAAAAAGGTGCGTCAACTTGCCAAAATAAATGCTTACGTTACTTGAGTGTCAAGTATTCCAAGAAGTGTTTAGATAGTTATCTAAGTGTTGTGCCTTACACAACATTGGCAGTAAGAGGTCAGATGCAAAACCCTTTAGTAGTTGAGAGATTATCACACTTCAGCAGTTCTATTGCATGAAGATCTTAGTAATGCCAAATGCCTAAAGAGCTTCATGTGGCTTGCTGGACACAGCAGACTCATTTCCATCCAGGCGAACCAGGGTGGGTGCTCTTATAAAACCATTCTGAGGAAGTAAGGGCACACCACCCAGTATGGGACAGACAGAAACAGAGAGCACCACGGTATATTTAAACCATCTTAATGGCACTATGCGTAGAGTCTGTGACAAACAAGCACAAGACTGGGAAATATGAGTTAGACTTATTGTGGAGGACTACAACTTTTGAATTAAAAACATAATGTGGATCTTCCAGTTAGAAATCATTACAGAGTAGTCCTAATACTGGAAAATGATCCCTCAGCTATGAACTGAAAGAGAAAGGGAGTCAAAAAAGAAACAAACAACAATAAAAGACCCCAAACCAACAGAGAGGGGGACAAAACAAAACCTGTTCCCATCCCTGGCCCAAGTCCTGATTTAAGATATATGCACAGAGAGGTAGAAGCCCAAGCACACTGATTTACAGTTTTGTTTCTACCTGAAGCCTGACCAAAATAAATCCATCACCAAGTGACAGCTAATGCATCTGTTCAGCATCTCATGAGAAGACCCCCCAGCAGAAAGGGTCTAGCAGGTGCCCTACAATGTAGTTCAGCAGCACCACGGCTGAGGAGCTTATCTCAGCCAGCAGACATGACTAAGCTTTCAGGGAGTGTTTCACCACTGTTACAGACTGTGTCACCAAACCCTCTGCCAGACAAATTCTGGGAGATGTTTCTGTCTGTTCAGATGTCTATTCAGATGTTTCCATGGGACAGGAATAATTTGCTGCTGCTGCCTGTATGCAGTTACCCTGCTCTGAACAACGGGAGATCAACAGCAAGTATGTAGCTACACAGGCAGTGTACGTTCATGCCTAGGTCTTTCTTTGACACCAGCATCCCACGAACAAACTCTAGTCTGAGAGGAATTGCTTATACTGCAAAAAAGGAAATCAGACCTAGACAAAGCAAGCTTTCTTCAATTTCTCAGAAAGCAGCTGAAGTGTAGGATGCTTTTGTACAGTAGTTTCAAGTGCTAACCTTTGGACGTTCTTCTTTTTTCAAAGCTACTGCTTCCAGTTTTGCTTCATACTCCGCTTGAACTTGGTCTCTCTTCTTCAACACATTCTAAGTGCAAGAGAAAAGATAGCTGTGAGACAGACCCTCTTGTTCCTGCCCTCCCCACTCTACAAGAAATTGCAAAGTGATACAGCTTAAGTGCTGATTCAGTCACCAGCATGACTCTCGGTATTTTGTCCTTTCTTACCTGATTTATGAAATAGCTTTTAAAAATAAAGAGCAGTAATGTGGAAAGCCTCCTCCTGCACTTGAAGGATCAGAGAGCCGGGGAGGGAACAACCTTCTGGTGGGCTGGGGCAATGTAAGGCACAGGCTCACACATAACCATGAACATAAACCTGGCTAAGTCAGTTCATCAGAGGCTCTGGTATTAGCATGAAGACGATCAACAAAAGCATAAATGCTCCCATGGATTGGTCCAAAGCTTTTGATACCCTCAAGCAGCAGACTAGCAGAGTCAGGAAAAGATCCCATAAAAGGTAGCAATGTTACCCTTTTCATTTAAAGCCCTTTAGAGTGAACAGCTACTTCCCATGTTAAAACTAAGTTCAGCCTGGTTTTAGACCAGTTTCGGGACTGGGAGAAGGGGGAGACACCACACAGATGGAGGCTTATTAAAGGCACACCTCACATTTCCCCCATGAAATACTGTGCTCCACGAGTCTCACATAGTAGACATTTTACAAGAAGCATGACAGATGCTTCTTAGAGCAGACAATAAAAAATGCTACTTTCATACTGTACTGCATCCATGAGCCATATTTTTCTTACCTTTTGGAAAAAACTAAAAGAAATTAGGTCTTTTAAAGAATGTACTAGTATGGAACAAGCAGTTTTGTGGCTGCGAAACAGAACATTAGTCTCATACCAAGTGACTTATTTCTCTACTCTTCACAAATGAAATGATCACTGATGTTTTCTAATTCTGCTGATGAAATTATTAAAAGTGCTTAGAGGCAGGTAGGCCAAAACTCACTGCTGAGGCACCTGTAAATTAGAGCTCCCCTTGCAGACCGTTTGGCCAGATGGTCCTTCAAGGGTTCCTGTTCCTTTCTGCACCCCAGAAGTTACCACCTCACTAGGACAACAGGAGGTAACCAGTCATTTTAACAGTTCCAGCAAGACCAATCAAAGAGGACTGGTCATGCGAACTGCTGCCTACAGTAAGACCTGTTTCAAAATTTAAGCAGATCTCAGAGCTGTAGAAGTCACTCTACGTTTGTTTCTTATTAGTTATATTAATGTCTGCACACCTTTATTATCTTCATCCCTTTTTTCCCTCATAAGCTAAGCAAAGATCCCCCTGCAGTTCTAAACATATGTCATTCCACAGGAGGGAACACTACAGCAGCTGGATTAGTGGTAAGAGACATTGCCTTCAATATCTTTACAAAATGCAGTCCTTGGTAAGCAAGAACAGCGACTCACCCAAAAAGTTGAAACAATTTACGTGAAAAAAAAAAAAGTAAGAACATAAATCTTCAATAGGTTAAGCCTTTTTTGTTTTTCTCCCCGAAGGAAGAAAGGGATATAATCAAGCATTATAGCTTTAAAAACACATTATTCTCATTGGTTTCAGAATATGTGGAACTTTCCCAACGTTGTGGAAGAGCCCTTATGTGCTTGAGTGATATAACAGGTATTTCCACTTTGTACTGCCTCTCGAACTCAATTCAGCTGAAATTTATTTTCAGAAAAGTAACTGCCTCTCGCAATTGCATTCAGTCTTGCTGAGCACAGTCAGTGTAGTAAGACAGATCTGTACCCAGATTAGCCAATGATTAACAGGTATCAGCAGACTAAATGCAAAGGGCAGGTGTCCCATTTCTCCCCAAGCACTATGGACTATTAACTACATGCTACTGAGCACAGGTTTAGGTGTCTATTAATGACTGACTTGAAAGTGGTAGAAAAAGATGCAGATTCTGCTTTTTATTTGCCTCATATGGAAACAAGACCAGTATTTCAGAATTACACAACCCATGCAATACTTCTGCTAGTTAAGGCCTTGTTTTACAGAGCAGTGAAGTTAAAAACCACACACACACTTGCGAGGGAAATTTTAGTTTTTTTCACACACACATTTCAGTTAGTTGGGAAGAGAACATTAGTCCCAGCAGTTGTAATGAGTCGGTTCATTTCACCACTTGGCCAAATCCACAGGAGTCTGCCACCAGTCTCCTTTCTCAAGCAGCAATGACAAGCTGGTTGCACTGTACAGAGCTTCCTACTATCGCTAGACCTCATGAATGAATCCTTATTTGCAGCACTCTTTTAAAGAGATGATTAATTATTCAAGATATGGTTCTTTAAATATGCATTAGCAGCAATGCTGAAGCACACAGCTGAAGACTGCATGATTTGATAGTCCTTGCTGGTAGTGTTATGTGTGCAGAGTTTGCACAACATTTTAATGTAAGCACAGAGTTATTGAGAGCAGAATTTGCAAGGTGCCTCCCAGCAGAACACCAGTGTACCTCAGAAATGCCGTACTGCACGTTTGCTGATTAGCGCCTCCTCTGCACTAAGATTTCACATGTGATCTGCTTTCCCCCCACTCAGCCTCAGTTTTATAACATGCCTCTCCCACCCACAACCAGTATGCACTTCAGGCGAAGCCCACAGTGCTAACCTCTCCCAGGTTCTGCAGAGCTTTCAAACTAATTTACCTGTCTGAGCCAAGACACAGGGGTTCCCTGGAACGATCCATCTCAGTGAGAAGTATGGGGCTATTCCTCCCTATATACTGGCCCCACCAGGTAGAACAGTGCTCTTTAGCACACTAAAGGGAGAATCAATTACGAGAAGTAAAAATCACCTTGCTCTGAGGAGCCTTCATCTAGCTACAGCCACTCTACCAATCAAGTTGCCCTGCCTATAGCTGGGGTCCAGCTTGCAGTAGAAAAAGCTCTAAAGGCTGTATTGGTCTGCAAATAGCCACGGCTTAATTTCCATCAAGTGTCTGTGGAAAAAGAATCTTTGCTCTGAAGGACCAAAACATTATTTAATTTCACAAGCAGGCCTCTCAGCAACTAATTATCAGGACTGCACTGCTAGTGAAGAGGAGAGCTCTTTCAGTAGAAAGTCCCTTGTGTTTAAAGAATTGCCTCATTTTTGGTTACTTAGAGAATTTCACAAAGCCTTGGAAAATATTGTAGTACCTACATACTGCAGTCGTAGCAAATTGACATCCTCTAGCCTAGAGAAGCTGAGCTAAGTATAACCTGACAGGTTTCAGCTCTGGCTCTTGGAAGGGATGGAAAAGGGGGACAAAGTCTTGGCTAGCAACAGTCCTTATTCTCCCTTCTAAGGCAGTGTAAAGCTCACAAGATATCCAAGCCTATCAGTAAGCCTTTACTAACTGCTCTAACTAACTGCTATTTTGCAAGTGTGATAGTTCCACCACATCAACACAACAGATTATATCCAGCCAGTTAGTGGAAAATACAAGGAAAGAGATGGGTTCTTTTGGCTTCATAGAAGTCAATTCAATAACCTGGAAATAAAGCAAGAAAGCAAGAGTTCATTGGGAAAAAGAAGTACATCAGTCACTTAGCGTAAGAACAATTTGGAAGACCTGAAGGAGAGAGACAAAAGACTATCTAAAAGCTTGGAGACTGCAGTTAGTGTCTGACACTGTTACACTGTTAGTGTCTCACACTGACATCAACTGACACTGTCTCATTCCAAGAAAAAACTTTTCCTCCCTTCAGCCCTCTGGATCTGTGGAAAAGCACTTCCCAGTTTGCCACTTTAGATGTCATCCTCACTGGGCTATGATACATGTTTGAGGTAAAAGCTTTAACTGCTACCCTCATGCTCTGCTTATTTGTAACACACACGTTTTTCCTATAGAATGAGGACAAGACTTCTATCCACAGCTCAGTGTGCCAGCAATGCTTGGGTGTTAGCAGTCCTGTAATGCAAATGCATTTGGTTTATGCTGGGGCCAAACACCATGACCATGAAAGCAAACATAAACTATGAGGATTAGTGTCAAACCTTGTGCAAGAACACTGTGCTTCTCCTGAAGAAGAGAGAAGTCAGGTAAGTAACCATATGAAGTTGGGAAGAGAATTCTGCAAGTGTTTAAAATGCTTATTTTGAGAATTGTAAAAGGACTAAGAATATGGAAAAGGTCTACCTTGTTCAGACTCTAGGTTCACAAAAATTTGCTAAATACCTCTAAACAAGTAATTCCACAGCCTTATAGCAGTTCTTCCAAGAGAAAATTCCTCAGGAGGAATTTGCTAGTGCTCAACGCAGGGTCTGCTACAACATTCTGTACACCATGGATGCGCTGCAAAAAAGCTGCTACAGTCACAACTAGAGCTCTTAGCTTTTCAGTGATGTTAACTCAGTTATTCTCTTCCTGCTGCTAAGGACTGTATTAAAACAGCATTTATTACTTTTCCATAAACAATAGATCTGTTCTTAAACAGATTAATAGTCACGATGCAACATCTCTAGACAGTTATTTAGTAAGCACAGAGCGTTAGTAACTCAGCATGACACGCATCCTGATGCTGCGTGGGGAGAAGGGGGAACCGTATTTCTCACTGGGACACATGGTTCCAAGAGGAGCTACCCAACATCGCTGCATACATGAGACAGCCTGCACAGCTGCTAGTGCTGCTTTCTGCAGGGCCAGGTCAGGACCCAACGCTCAATATCTGAGATTCACCTGATTTTCTAACAGTTCAAGTGCTGGGTAGGTATGTGACATCTCATGAGAAGTGACTCACCGATACTTCATGCGCAGTCTAGCTTTATGACCTTACCTTGCCCAACTGGCACGCAGATGGATACTACTACACGGGGAGTTTCCCATAAAACATAGAAAGTTCTGACTTGACAATGGAAACACAATCCTATTTTAAGCCACTATTTATTTCCCTCTTCTTGTACCAACAAGCCTCCTCACAGCTAGGAAAAATGAACTCACTGACGTATCATCCCACGAAAACACAACAGCAGTTTCTTCTGCTGCAGGGCTCCCTTTACCTTCATCGATTCCGAGTACAATATATATTCCCTAAGCACGGGCAGGAAGTCTTCTGACATGTCTTCGCTGAGTTCCTCAAGAGCTGTGCAGCAGTTCCCAATACAGGCAGACACCCCTTCCAGTGGCTCCGCTAACTCAACCTCCAACCCACCCCAGGTTGAATAAACAGGTCCATATTCTCGTAGCTCCACCAAGTATTCTGCAAAAGACAGAAGAAAAAAGCAGATAAAAAGAGAAAGAGCACGGTACAGTGTTACACAAACACTCACAGACAGTAGGCACATACTACGAGGCACAGCAAACTCGAGCCCTGCCAAGGACAAAATCTTGTCCTTACTACAAGTCTTGTAGCACGCTAACAGTCAGAGCTCCACATGTGCATAGGTGACTAGTCCAAGCTATCTCCTGCTTCACTGACTGCTCCTACAAGCCTCCTGTACAGACACACCTGTACAGGAAACAAAGTTCCCTCTTAAACATATGCAAAAGTTGGCTTTGTCAAGACAAGTCTGTGAAGTTATCTTCCCATTCCCATAATTCTATCTGGACTCTTCAAGCTGGAATCTAGACTATGCTCCAAAAGTCTTTACAGAAATGACACTTTCAGTAAGAAAGTAGGCCTGTATAATGACAAGGCCATTTTTTATAGAACTGAGCTAAGATAAGTCATTGTGTTAAACAATTGCCATTAAAACTGCAAGAGGCAATAGATTTAGATTTTCAGTGTCAGTGCATGCAGCTGGTTACAGCCAGATTCAAGGGTATGAATTCTCAGCTGTGTTACCAACCAGAATAAGATGCAGAGCACTCAGTGTGAAGTATTTTGAAAGAATGCCATATGTCCTTACCCAACTGCTCCTTGATAATCCGCTGTGCTATTCTGTCAATGGTACCAAGCTTTAGAGAGAACGTGTCTAGATACTCTCCAATAGCTGCAAACTCCAGGGGCCGACTTCTTAGTTTGTAGCCTCCTGTGACATACTTGACAGACTCCCCCACCTTTGTCAGCAATGCCATTCCTTGCTTTTTGTAAGCATTAAGATCCTGACAAAGTACAAATAAAAAAATTAGAAATATTCTACTTGCATATTGAAAGATTAACAAATGAAGAACACCCTTCAGTCAAAACAAAATGCTGCAAAGACAAAAGATTCTACCATTTAGCCTGGTACTCATGCTCACTTTGTACAAGTTGCACATCTAGGCACTGCTGCAAGACAAGCCCTAGACAGATATATTCAGGTCTGAGAATAGCATGAAAGATATTATAAGTGAGCACTAAGCAGCCTTTCTTGGTGCACGGCCAGAATTTCTCTTGTTCTTGCACTGTCACCAGAGAAGTAATGATATTAGCACAGGTTTGTTCCCACCAAGTCTCTTCACACCATTCATTCACACTATGCTAGAGACGGCATACAAGTCATAGTTCAAAATACCAACACAAATTCATACGGCTTCGATAGCTTAGTACAGAGCTACTCAGTGCACTGAGCCAGGCCCAGATGCTCAGCAACCCATTCACCTCAACCGTGTGGCCAGATAGAAGGTGGGGGAAGACAGAAAAAAGCACATCACAGCAAAACTGGCACTGCAGCTCAGGATGGGTCTGAAGTAGCCTGCACAATAAGCCTAAGTGTTACTGCTAAAGCTTTATGTTTGCACGGACAGGACGACACTCAAAACTTGTGAAAAAATATTATTTTTTCTTTTTTCTTTTTTAAATGACATCTTACAGGTTTTAGAGGATTTCATCTTGACAGCACATCAGAAAACAAAGTTTTTAATTAGCTAATCAATTAGTCATCCATTTAGTGCTCTAGTCCTTCCAGCAGGGGTCACTATTTAGCACCTCAAAGCAGGCTGAAGAGTCAGTGAGGTTTTTCTATCCAACATGAAGATTTGCAAGACAAACAGACATGCAGAGATTGAGAATTGATACATGGTATTGTATGGTGCCATCTTCAAAACAGATGCTCTACTATTTTTTTGCAAGCATTTATGCGAGTCAAAGGTAAGTCTGATTAACAGAAGTGGACAAGTTAGCAGGTAATGTTTATTCTTAAATGCAGTAGTTCCTTCAGGCTTACGACTGATAGAAAACACCTGAGAGCAGGCATCATGTAAAGACCCTTCAGTTGAGCCATTATTCAAGTATTCCAGTTTTTCGGGTCTACAAATCACACTGGTCCACACAAGGTACTGAGAGAGGCTTTGGTTCCTCTACTGAAACAGGAGAGGGGTCTCACGATTCCTCACAGTGAGTCATTCTGAAATCCTAATACAACAGAGCACGAGAGACAGTCAGATGAAGCTATCTGCCCTTCTCTCACCACTACTCCTCACCCAGAGGCTCATTAGAAACTCTGCATACTCAAGGCAAAAGCCAGACGGAGCTAAGGATGAAGCCTTTACCACTCACTTGGGGCACGGAGTGGGGAGGAACAGGGGAGCAACAGAGGAGGAAGGGGATAAGACATGTTAAGAAGAAAGTTGCACTTTGAGAAACAAAAAGCAGAACAGTGCTTCCTATGCTGAGCAATGCAGGATACTAATCAACTTCTGCATTTTGGACTGGCTTCAGCCATTAAGTTCACCACTGGGGAGCAGAGGCGTGGGGAGGGAGGGAGGAGACTCGAATCTCAGCCCCCCAGTGAGTGCAGCATTATTCTGAAATCAGCTCATCAAAATAAGTGTTTCATTTTAGTGAGCTAATGCAATGTGATATTGGAGAGAAGTGCTTTTATAGCTCTTCTCATTTATCAGGTCAAATCCAGTCCTGACTGCAGGTCCTCCTGGTGTTATTTAAAATGCAATTTGAATGATATCCAAGGAAAGCCGCACAGTTCATAGATACTTTATGCAATAGATGTGCATGCGGTTGGCAAAGAACAAATGAGAATAAAGTTTTCACCCTTAGTTTTGTCCAAAAGACATATCCCCCTTCACTTGTTTTTCATTATTCCCCCAAAGCAATTGTTTTTGTTTTGTTTTCTTTTTTATTATCTTTGTTTTTTAAACACAGCCTATGATTTGCTGTATTGATACTGGCCCCTCTTGCACCAGAGGAACATATTCCAGAGACAGGAATTCAAAATAAGCAAGTCTGAAGAACTGAACTCATGATCTGGAAATCAGCGCTCTAATGGATGGGAACCCGTATGGTTATGTCACATCTGGGCAACACACAACATCACCCAACACCTTTTTCCTATATAAGGAGGAAGTTCTGAAAAGCAAATACCATTTTATTAATGCCGTTTTAACTTAATTTCAAGTAAAACTGCAAGAGTGCCCATTTTTCTATAGTCCTTCTCAGAGATTTGTTTTAGAAGTGTCTGGCTTACCTTGGCCGTGAGAAACACATTGAAGTGCTCATTAAAAGAAAGCACTGGATGATCCGTGATTCTTTTCAGGAATTTGTCTAATGCTCTCCTCCTTGTTTCCACAAATTCTTCAGAAAACCGATCAACAACACCCTTCACCACAAACTTCTCAGGAAGAGGCTGTGAGAGAAGACAAGCAGAATGTACAAGATTCAGTAGAGCAGACAATTGCTTCTGTAACTGGCAAACGTAACAGCAAATCAAGCTCCCATCTTGATGGTAACTGCACTGCTATGTTTAGTAACAGGTATTATCCATGCCAATGAGGATGGAAGCCCTATTCCAAATTACTCCTGGTCATTTCACTGATTGGCTTCAGCAGAAAGACACCTGCAAAGCCCAGCCATTACTTACACTAAGCATTTCCAGTGTAACTGTGTCCAAGCTGCCTTTCAAAATCACAGAATCATTAAGGTGGGAAGGGACCTTTGGAGATCCAGTCCAACCCCCCCTGCATACGCAGAAGCCATCATTAGCAGGGTTACCCTCTGTTCCCTACAGTAACACAGACACATCTTCAGCTGGCATTCAAACAAAGCTGCTCTACCCAGGGAAACCTGGAAAACCTAATGACTAAGATCATCCAGAGAGAACTATGCACATGGGAGCCTTCCCAAAGGCAACCAAACTGATGTGAGATGTTCAGCATCTTCGAAAGAATAAAAAAGACAGTGCAACTTAACTGCAACGAAGCTTCACGTTCAGATCTGTTATTCTAGTTAAACCAGTTTAAGTCACATCCTAATTAGATATCTTCAGAAGAGGAATGCTTGGTGTAGTAGATTTCAGGGAGGCACAAACTTGTTTCCCAGTGCTTTGTAAGCTTTATCTGGAACTCTAGAAACCTCAGCACCATATACAGGAGAAAAGCAACAAGCTGGGAGATTGGTTTAAAGGAATTTCATTCACCCAAGCACAAGTCAGCTGGCACTGCTTGGTGTGCCAGCTTGGCATCCATCACTGGAGTCCAGGCACTTTCAGACCAACAGAAGGATATTCCTTTATTACAGAGGCTTTTAACACTATTTTAGCTAACTGCATATAGGCAAGCTTCTCTTGAAAAAAAAGAGTGGACTTTGCAAAAAATTAACAGTCCTCATATTGTTACTTCAGGTACTTCAAACTGTTCCAAAGCACTTACAAAACATTACTGCCAACATCACAATTAGCCTTTGGCAAAATCCAGCAAACCAGACACAGGAGATGCACTGATGCACTAAAATACTTCTCCTCATGCATAGGCAGGAGCCTTTGTTGCTTTAAATACTGTTAATCCAGGCTGCATTTTATACATGCTTGTTATTCTCATCTTAGTACCAATGTCTACACTTCAACACATGTTTTCACAGAATCACAGACAGGCTGTGATTGGAAGGGACCTCCAGAGATCATCTAGTCCAACCCCCTGCTCCAGCAGGGACACCCAGAGCACGTGGCACAGGGTGGCATCCAGGCGGGTTTAGAAGATCTCCAGAGAAGGAGACTCCACAACCTCTCTGGGCAGCCTGTGCCAGGGCTCTGTCACCCTCACAGGAAAGAAGCTCTTCCTCACATGGAGATGGAACTGCCTGTGTTTCAATCCTGTAAAGACACTGGAGAACAGTGTCTCTAAAAGTCTAGAATGAAGTTTTTTTATCTCAAACCTTCTCCAAAATACAGGTTTATAAAGCAACAGTCACTTGTTCCACTACAGGGATAAATAACAGAGACGAACATGCAAGCACATGCTACATATAAAAATCAAGTTTTACTTTCATCACAACTCCATCTCATTTCAGTAGATCCCTAAGCCACAGAACTACCTGCAAGTCACAGTAGCTGCAGATGACAACTGTGTTTTGGTCATATTTTAGAATCAGGTAAGTGGAAAAAGATGTATGAGGCCAGAAACCATTTTCTAGTTAAAGCAGCTGCTTTAAATAGAAAATGTAACTCTTTTCTTCAGGAGGCCTTGGTGATCTATCCCAGGTAATCAATATACACAGCTAGCAACTGATAACCCACTTCTACTGTGTGCTGCCTCTCTACATAATGGTTTTCCAGCTAAACAGCCTATTTCCCCTGCTGTGATATGGGAACAGTGGTGTTCACTGCAGTCAGAAATGGCTTTAGCTATCACTAAAGCCATCTCATACCACACCACCATAAACTATGGTTACCTTTCTAATGTAGACAACAGATCTACCACTGACTAAATTTCTATTGCTGTTTGAAAGAACAAATTTTAAAAAGTCTCAGATAATTAAAAATTCAGTAACCGAAAATTAACAGGTCCACGCTTATCTTAGACAGCTGTTTCAGTTAAGGCTATCAAGCTCTGTACTGTTCTTCTGTACAGGAAGATATTAGGCAGTCACCATACCAAAGCTAGGAAAACAGCCCCCCTCCAGGAATTTTCTTTGACAGAAGGCCTCTAGGCATTACAGTATCTTCAATTATACGTGCAGATACTCTTACACAGGTTTGAAGCACCCTTCCACAACAGTGCACCTGACCTTGCATTATCCTCTGCTCCTCACCTGCTTTTCAGGTAAAGCATTCAGCAGTCTCCACTACTATAATGTTATATTTAGGAGATTAAGAGGCAGTTCGGCCACTGCTATCACACTGTACTTGTTCCCAGACAGCCTGAGAACTGCAGCTCTCTTTGTACACTTCAGCAGCACTTTGGGGGTCAGTGTGACACTATGCTCCCACGTTTCCCATAACAGAAGCCCTTCAGTGCCTTGTCCTCTAACAGACCCACTTGTGTCAAACTTGCAGCTCAGCTTTCAGGGCTTTCCAGGCCATCACGAAGTTTGACTCCCTGCTTGTGAATCACCATGCACTGCCAGACCATTAGCTAACTGCCACGCAGCCTTCAGGCAGGAGTGGAAGCCTGCTGACATGCATAGATTAGCTAGAACGAGGCAAGTTACTGAGAAAACAGGGATGGATGGAAGGAAGAAGAACACTGACTATCAAGTTTTATACAGCTACACTGCACCCCAAAACACATACGACTCGTTAAGAACAGCATTACAGCCATTAAATCATAAAAGTCCATGCAGGAGCCTCTACACCGTGCCAGGTAACAGGTAATAAACACCTGGCAACTGCTTGGCAGTCTCCCAGGACACCAGATCACAGGCAGCTTTCTTTTCATCTGACTTTTAGAAGAAGTCAATAGATAAACCTCATGTCTACATCTTTCCCAGCAAGTCCATCCTCTTCTCCTCACCTCCCATCAAATATTTTTGTTGCCAAGTAGTGATGTCACATTTCTCATATTTGAGAGACTGAAAACCACTTACAGAACCCATTTAAATGCAAGTCCTGTAAAGGTTGAGGACTTCAGTGTTTCTCTAGATCGATCTAAATGAACACTTCTCACACGGCCTAGCCCTTGCTGAGGGAGCGGAGGAGGAAAAAGGGCTCCCCTCCCCATCCCAGACAGCCTAGTCAAGGTATCTTAGCAATGTTGCTTGCAATGTTTCACTGCAACTCACTTCCTTTGGGCCTTTCTGAATCTCATTATTCAGAATAGCTAAATGGCAATTCTCACAGGCTTCTTGCCCTTTGCATCTAACAGAAGGAAAATAAACTGCAGAACATCAATATCAATCTCTTCACATCACATTAGATTGTCAGGCTGCCAGCTGTCAGGCCAGAAGAGTAGTTTATATAGTCTTATTAGCTAAACCTTTGCCTACTGAAAACCGGTGCAAAATCTGCCAAGCCAGAGACTGTAACTCTTCTAACAATCTGGGATCTTAGAGCAAATTGTTTTAAATCGCGTAGTTTAGGATCAACTCAAAAGAAACCTTTCACACCTTCCAACTTTCACACTGCCTGAGACTAAGACTTGCAGCACCTGTGTAGCTTTTCATAAGCCTCATAGAAATCTAAACACAAGAACTGGGCAAAGAATTGGGCAAAGAATTAGAAATTTAAGCTCAAGAATTGAGCAAACAGTCAAGCATGCTCTGTTTGTGCTAGGACAAAAGCAGTCACCTGCATATAACAGGTTTTCATATAAGAGGTTGCCAAGGCTCATCTCTGCGATCTGCCACCCAAGAAACATCTCAACTTCAAAATCAAACAAGAACAAGCAGCTCTTCCCAGTAACAGCACTAAACTGAGTGCTGTATTTAAAACTAAATAGCTGTATGACCAAGATACCACCCTTTGAAGACACAAATGCCCTTAACAGCAGATCCTTGCTTACTACCTACGGGAATGAGATGCGTGGGCTGAGACTCCTCCAGCTTGTTCCTGAGCCAGTCGAAGTCTTGGTACCGCCGGCGGACAGAGTACTCTGGCAAATCAAATTCGGCTCGTGTGGTCTGGAAAACAACAACAGGACATGTCTAGGGTCCCCTCGGAGCAACAAAGCACAAACATTTTTCACTTCAAAGTTTATTGCTGAACGTGGCGAAACCATCATGAACAACACCGAGGCCAGACAACCTTGAACTGGGACTGCACCCTCACATTTTGGTTTGCAGCAATGGAGACAGATCCTTCAGGCCTTTCAAGCAACAGAAAAGCCAGCAGTAAGAAAAATGACTTAGAGCTGATGTCTTCTAAAGGTTCAATGGTACTTCATCACACGTTCTTCTCAAATAAACATCCCAAAAGATAGTAGAGGAAAAAGAAAAAAAAACACCACCGCCACCAAAAAAACAGTATTGCATACCCTGTTAAACTCTTTATAGTTACAATGTTGAGGGGAAGAAGCTGTATGAGGCCTTCATTCCAAGGATAAGCTTATTTTAGCAATCAAGAATTAAAAGCAGAGATTTTTCATGACTTGTTTATTCATGGAGAAGATTAACTGTGGGGGAAGAATGTTTCACAACCGTGCTGTATTTTCAAAAGCAAGGGTTATTTCATTTCTACAAGGCCAAGAGATTAAGACCTAGCAATGGTTTATGCCTGCCAAAGGGCCATGTTTACTGATTTCTGAGAGGAAGAAACAAGTCCGTTTACATTACTCTTTTTGTTCTGGCATCTGAAAATTGGCATATATTAAGTTAAACCTTGAAGGAAGTTTTCATTCTTTAAAAGTTGTCATTACAGGTTTAAGATAGAAGGTAGACATGTTGAGAAACTGTTAGGAAATGTCTGATCAAGTCCTTGAACAGTTTACAGCTTTGAAAGCTAACGTACTCCTTACACTGCAACGGACTAAAAACACTAAGAAGCACCAACTAGGGGACTCTGCTAAAGCCTCAGAAACTGTGATACCCCTAATCAGAATGCAGATGTTCCTCGTAATTATGCCTCGCTGAGAAGCACAGCTCAGGGGATAGCTTAGAGTCCTACACTTAGTCACCTGCAGCATCACCAAGACCACTGTGCAGTAAAAATGCTGCTGCCATGCCAGAAGACTAGATATTTACAGCACTTTATGGAGCACTCTTATAGCACTGGACAGCCATAAAACCCCAGACTAGGTTTCTTTGCTCCTCTCAGCATCTGCTTTCTCTGCTAAATTCCAGGTGAGGTTTTCTATTTACTTTCAGACTGATGGCAACTGCCTCACAGCACTATTTGAAGAGAACCAGGCAGTAGCCCTAAAATGCTTCCTGCCTCTTCAGTTATTATCTGGTTGGCTCCCACTCCTCAGGTACCCCATGCTACTCAGCCACTCCAGTGAGGGTTTATGCATGCTTTACGTCAGGAGTTTCCTTTTAGAGGGAAACAAGTTGCCTTAATATGCTGCTGTTTACAGAACAGTACTTCTGTTACATATGATACGCACGCCATATGATATAACCTATGCAATAGTTCAGTTTCTGGAAAACGAAGGCAGAGACAGAAAGAAAGAAGCCAGGTTCACCTCAACACTCTTCTCACCCGGTAACTGTAGTATATAGATTACAGTGTGTGTTTATACATATAGTCTGAAATCAACAGATTAACATAACTGCTCCATTGATGACCATGCATTACGTTTGCAGACGATGAACTACCAATACAAATATCCAGCGCACATTTGTGATTCAGCCAACTAAATCTCATAGAGGAACCAGCTTCTTTACGGTGGTGGAGTGCCACAGCACAAGTGAAATTACCGAGACTTCAAGTAAAACATTTCATTCAGTCTCATTAAGAGACTGAACAGTGGTACTCTATACCAAGAACAAGACAGTTCATACAGATGTAGACAACCTAAATCGGTCAGGAGTTCTGGCTGCTCTGTTCTGCTAACATGGAAGGTGTACTTCAGATTGGCAGAAGGAAACCTAAACAAAAAAGCAAAGAAAAATAACTTGTACCCGTTCAGCAGTAAGGAGAGCTGTTGTGCACTGGTTGTCACTGGGCTAGGAACTCTTAAAAGAGTCCATATACTCAGCAGGCAAGAGTAATCTGGATCTGTATACTCTACAGGGTCTCACCATGTAGCATGTGGAAGAAGGTGCAAATGTCCCAGCTTTGAGAAACTAACTAGCATTATCAACCCATATTATGCCAACCACTAAGGAAACCAACCCAGACAGTTTAGTTCTGAAGCTAGGAGGAAGGGTTCAAATTGTGCAAAAGGGCTTCTTCCAACTTCCTAGTAATCACTCAGCATCCCTGCTGCTTCTGTATCACAAGCAAGTTTCCATGTATCAGGCACCGGTCCTCACAAAGACCAACACAAAAGCACACCGTAGTCATCAGCATTTCAGTGTTTGCAATATGAGCTGTCAACTCCAGGTAACAAATAAGCTTTTCAAAGACTGTTTGGAAAACTTAAGCACCCTTCAGGGTTATACTACATCCCACTAATGCTGAAAGAATTTGGGACCCTGATCAAACTGTTCCTTGGCTTAGCATATTTAGTGCTAAGTTGATTAGTTGATTTTTTTTCCAGACTGCACACAGAGGGAAAAGAGTCTTGCCATAGTCCAGGGATGGCAAGTGAATTATGATTTTTTTTAATGAAGTTGGATGTCTCTTGTTTTTTTACTAGAATTCTTAAATGTCATCCTTGAAGGACACATTCTATTCCCTTAAAAAAAAAAAAAAGTTTATGTGACAGATCTTAACCTTCTAAAAATTAGGAATTGGTAGTGATTTATTGAAGGCATTAGCACAGGTCTGCTAGACCAGCACCACAATATTCCTGCCTCAGTTTCAGTTGTCCAAAAGCATGCACAGATACACACACTTTTTCCTGTATGTTTGGAATGGTTTTGACTTGAGGCAAACACCGTCATGATTTGGTCTTGTGCAAGATTCTTGTCTTTCAGCAAATAGCTGACAGGCAAACCTAAAGCTAGCCAGGGATGATGATGTGAAGGTATTTCCTCCTCCTAGTTCTGCTCTCTTGTTCACTAGACCGGGTTGTGGGTCTCCCCTCCCCAGCTTAGCAAATCCAAAAGCAAAAATTATTTAGATGTGGAGCAAGCTCTTTGACTAGACGGAGTAAAACTCTCACGCTGGGTTTTGAGGAGGAGGGAAGGTATGGCCTCACAGAGATGACAGAAGCAAAGTTTGCTGCAGAACTTAGTGACCCAAAATGCAGAGGTGCATATATCAACATTTATCCTGACAGTGGTTGGTAAGAACTAATTAATTGTTGCGTTGTAATGCTATGTATATGTATACTGTAAGGCAGAACAAGGCAAGCATAAAGAGCGATGTGGGGAGATAGTTAAAGTAGAAGAAGTTTTCTAAACGGTTACCTGTTACCCAATAAAGTAAATACCTTAGTCACATTCCACAGTTCTGCTTCAAGAGGGAAGAGGAATCCTTCCATGAACACAGCATTAAAATGCAACACAAGTATGGTGTCTCAGTGCACTGATACCCTGTCTTGGCAGGATAATCAGATCTCAGTCTAAGGTAGAAACACTTCCTACTGTTTCTGATCATGCAAAGGCTTAAGGATAGGCAGGCCTATTAGAAAGGCTTCCTACAATTCTTTTTAGTGTTTTCTAGCAGCAAAGTATTTTTTGTGGACTAAGATACTTAGAGCCACAAACAATAACAAGTCTATGTTAAGATGGCTTTAGGAAGTAGATGCTTCTTTTCAAGGAATCACAGTCTCCTCCTCTGCAGCATAAGAGTTCAATATTTTAGTAGACTTCATGAAAGTAATTTGTGCCCTAGAGAAACTCCCTTAGTTCAGAGAAAAATATTCTCACCTGGACATAGTGTCTTTAAGAAGACCAAAGCAGAACCAGTTAATCTTTCCAGAAAAGTGCATCAGGTATATCCTTAGTAAAGCTACTGAATAGTATTTCCTTTGGGTAACTACAAGCTCCCAAACCAACTGTCAACATCACCTAGAAACTGCTGCTGATGAGAAGAACTAGTTAGCAAAAATTAAGTTCCAGTTGTGAGGGCAGCGGACTTTCCAGATCACTTCTCCTATTAATGTAATTAGATTGAATTAATCATTGAGCCAGAGCACATGCAGAAAGAGCTCCAGCATACCTTTTTTGGCAGGCAGAGCATTCTTAAGCTACTTTTACTCAGTGTTAAACAGCAGTTATGTAGCCTTCTATACCAATGACCCTATGAAACCCTTGCCTGGTTTACAGGCAAGCGTCAAGACTGTTTTGGGTATGTGGCTACTACTGAAGTGCTGTGAAAGCAAAAAGCTTTAAGAGTTTCAGAAAAGAACTGGACCATGAGACAGGTAACAGTGAAGCACTTCCCTTCAGGAAAGATAACTCAAACTAAACAGGTGTCAGATTGTTAGATTAACCTTTTTTCACTTAAAAGCAATGAAAGAAGCTGGTTTTGTAAAATCTACAATCAGTTCTCTCAGAATCAAAAAGAAGATCTAAACTGACGCATTAGAATACTGCCCAATTTCATATACCAAAGTTGTCCCAAACAGTTCTGCTTAGAGAAGTCACGCCTCAAACATGAAGAAGGTAATCAAACATTAAGGTCTTCTCCTTAAGACAAAACACAGGGAGGGCACAGAAATCCAGAACATACCTTAAGTTTGTGTTTGGTTAGTTGGTTTGGTTTTTGTTTTTTTTTCCAAATCAAAAAAACACTAGGAAAGGAGAACGTTATTGTACCTTTGTTGTAACCCTGTATGTGATGTATGTCTCCATTGTGCACACATGTTTTTTGGGATCATCAACAGTAACAAAGAGGTCTCTAGTTTCCCCATCCAAATCATCATCCAGCTGCAGTCTGTTGAGAAGAGAAGAGGAGGAGGCTGGGCTAGAAGTGTCAACAGGTGTGCCATTGGGCAGGCTGAGGTCCTGTATGGAAAAGAAAAGAAGGATTAACAAATGCACATATGGACTACAAAGTACAGTACTCTGAAAGATGCCACCAACAAGATACACTTGTTGGCATATACATTTTTTTCTTTTTAACAGCTGCAATGATCACCCTTTTTTTTTTCTGAGCAATTACTCGGAAAGCTACTGGGGTTTGAACATTAAATTTTTCTACTTTTTCCTAAAATGAAGGCAAAGAACATTACAACCATTGCTTGAGAGGAAAGAGCCACAAGAGTGTAGTCTTCTTGTCCTCACAGCTCCAAGGGCATCACGCAGTAGGTAGGGAAGGAAGGGCTAGGAAACCTAGCAAATGGCTCTTTTAAGAGGCACACAAGTGTTTGGGAAGTCTAATCCCCTGGAAATGACTCAACAGCTAAAAAGCTTGCATCAAACTTGGTACATTTCCACACCTTCAGGTCTTACACTTTGAAATAAACCAACTACTCTATACAGCTAGTGGCTACTTCACTTTACATTAAGTATCTCTGCAATTTCACATGTGCTCCCTGCTGTGGTTTTGTAGCCGAGCTAGCTGAGAGCATGTGACAAGTTGTATAACACATAGGAACATCTGACACAAGTGCTAGAAAGTGCCAGAGACCCAAGCTCCTCCTTTCGGATTCGAGAGGGCTTTTGGTTGTTTTTCTAGCAGTGGCACCAGAAGAGATTATCTTCACAGTGTTTCCCTTGAAAGGGTAAAGATTCCTCAGTTGTGGACTTAGAGAAACTTGACTGTAGTTAAGCAGCACATTAATGAGCATGTTTCAGTTCCAGAACTACTATTTAGCCCCAGCTTTGTACAGTCTTTTAAAGTGGTTAAATGAAACATGTCATTTTAGCAGGGCAATGATGTTTGGATAAAATCTTGTTTGTCCATTTTCATGCAATTGTGGTTTGCATTCCAGTGAGACAAGCGTATTCCCCATCTTCAAAAGAAGTCCTCTGTTGTGCTTCAAGTCAAGGATTCAGAATTACAGACCAGATCTTGAAGTTAATGGTACTTATGAATGTCTGCATTTGAAATGTCTAAGAAAGAGGGTAAATTTCTATTACCCTTTACCAAGTTCCTATCCTGAGACTACTGGGAGCTTGCAGACAGGATGCTGCTCATTCGACTCCAGTAGGACGGCGCTACCTCTTCAATTTTGGGATTGCCTTACGAAGTAGGGAGGATTTTGTGAAAGGAGTCATCTAAACAACTGTCATATAATGTCTCAAGTGCATTAAGAGAGCCTGGGCAAACACAAGGTTGGATGCCATAACTACATAAGTCTGCACCTTCCATACTTGTCCTCCCAAAACATAGGTTGCTTTGGCTTTCTTAATAAGCATGGGTCTCTGGAAAACAGCACCAAGGCTACCAATAACTAAGGAGCAAACCCAATCCCTTCCTCAGACTCCACAACTCTGTGCAGAGTTCAAAGCAGCCTGGAGGCCACCACACCTGGACTGTTCCCTGCTGAGAGCTTCGGTGCCGTCTTCCACCTAGCACTCAGATGTGGTTACCAACCCACGAGAGGCATTTCAGGTTTAATTGACAAATGAGCAAGATTTAGATGATAGGCACTCAAATACTCCAGGAGTATTAAGGAGCAGGATGAGCACAACAAAGCCTGCCAGCTCATATGTGAGGTTGACAGGCTAAACTACATAAGCAGCACCTGGCTGTGATTCAACACAGCAGAAGCCTGTTTAAGAGGAAGATGCGATGTTCCTCCAACTCAGGAGATAGGGGAGAGCTCTGTTAGTTACGCAAACAGAATCAGCAGAAGCCAGTATAAAATTAGGAACAGAAGATGCGTGTAAAAATTAGTTAGTTTAACTAGATGGAGGGAGTTTGGCTGAACACAGTTAAGAGCAAAGAAAATCCTTGGACGCTGCAGTAGTAGACAAACCTGTTTCTGTTTCCAGGAGCAGACAGCTCTTCAATGTCCATGTGCTATAGCCATTAATATAAAAGGAGCTGAGCCAGAACCACAGTGAGTCAAGCTCAAAGCTTCCAGTATGGAAATGAATTAACTTGTGGAAACAGTTTAAGCCTGATTATTGAGAAGGTCTCAAAAGACTGTAACAAAACCTTTCAAAAAAAAAAAAAATATATATATATATATATATATGCTTAAAAAGAGAAGGAATCTGCCTGCAGTATGAAAACTCCATGCCAAGGTTAAAACTGGAGGAAGGACTACAGAAGGAAGTTTGCAACCACTTGCATGAAGTTGGTGACATTCCTCACAGTTCTTTAGGGAGATGGCAATTCCGTACCAGCCTGCCTTGCACCTTTTCAGCAGGCCAGATTTGTGAAGGCTTGTAACCACACCAATCCACTGGAGCATTCATGTCTTCACGGGTTCAGTGTATCTGAGCACTGCAGGTGCTAAAATAAAAGCTGTGATAAAGTTTTGCCTGATCTCAGCCTTGAAAAAAACACCCCACGTCTAGATGAAGCTCTAGGCCAACTCCAAGGCCAACTCTGCTTGTGAGCACAAGGACGAGCCGGGCCTGGGAGAAGGACATGGGAAACATGCATTTAAACTACTTCTGCGATACACTGCCTTATCTGTGAAGGCAGAACTCCCCCTGCCCAGCCCAGTCTTCATGCCCTGCTACCTGGCCAGTTTGCAGCAGCACAAGGCCAAGCTGTTTGTCCCTCTTAATAGGTGGAGCTTCCCAGCTAGCTGCTAGCTGAGATAAGGAATAATGCTGATAGCTGCCCCTCAGGGGCAGGCAGGATCAGCTTGCTAAAGGCTAATGCTACTGCTAGAAAGAGGGGGGCAGATGAGATAGCAACTTGTCTCAGACTTTAATCCTTTCAACACAGCCCTGCTTTGCCATCTTAGTTAGCACTGCTTTTCTTTCATTTCTTTTTTGGGACTTTGCAGGGTTTTTTGCAGCCGGGGAAGCAAGACAGCATCTTCTGTTCTCGTTCGCTTTTACAACAGGAAGAGCAGTGGGTCCTGCAGAGCCTGGCAGGAGACCTACTGCCATCTGCATTTCTGTCTCTCAGTTTCGTTATCACATTCATGAGCATCTGTAATATTACTGTTGACTAATACTAATTGCTTTATATAACAAAGTGTCTGACTTCAATCCCAGGGACTCATGCATCGACTGCATCTTTATGGTGCCAAGTTGCTGCTCATCAACTGTTCTAATTACCCAGCTGCACTAACAGAGATCTGTTAGCAGCCCAAGTTCTAGCAGGCACCTACTCCTGCAAAACTTCACGGACAACAGTGCTGGGTGCCACGGCAGAAGGGCTGCCCTGTCCTCACTGCGCCTGCTGCTCACGGCAGCCAGCCCGCCATGGACCGAGCCCGGCCCCGCGGGGAGGACGTGGCCGCTCTGGTAGCCAGGGGATGGAGTGAAGGGCAGACTCGTCACATCTCAGAGGGTATTCAAGATTCCCTCATGTCTTAAAGCTTTCTCAACAGAGCAAAGACCTTTATCCTTTGAACTTCCTCATCTCTTTGGGCCAGGCAAGTAACTTTGTGATCTTGGTCTTACTAGACATTCAGTGGATCCTCTTCACCAAGTGATAACCAACCACAGAAACAACATAGTACAACATTCGGACCTTCATGTTGCTGATCCACTGGCCAAATACTTCAGTCCTCTGAGTACCCATAGGTTGCTGTACTGCTCTGCACAGGCTTTGCGAGAATTCCCAAAGGTCGCAGCACTCAAAGACATCTAAGTTTATAGACACGTAACATCAGATGAGTCTAGCAGTAAGGATTGTTTCCTACAGTGCAGGGAGGGTACAAGCTAACTGGTTTTATTGAAAATGCTTCAGTCTTGCTAACTGTGCAGGTTGCTATCTAGTAAGGAAGCAGCTTCACATTCTTTCCTTGGATTATGCAGTCCAAGCACTTTAACTGGCTAGCCTGCCCAGAAACAGACACTAAATCTATCAGGAATTCCACTTCATCCAAGTTTAAAATACAGCTGAAGCTTATAAACTTGAGGTCTGCATGTGAGACGCAAAATGAGTTGGGAAGTTTCCAGCTGATCTCATCTTCTTCCTCCATGCCCCAGGAGATTTTCCAAAACTCCAGCTTTACAGAGCAGCTTGGAACCACCATAAAGGAAAACTTCAATTACTTGGTGTTCACTCTTCTGGAAGGCAGCTACAGTTAAGCCAGCCTTTCCCCCACGATTCACCCCAACAGAGTAGTACGTACTAGGGAAGACATTAAGTGTTCAACCCCTAAAGGCTGAAAAAGTGGTCTACAATTCTGTAGGCTTTGGCATACATTCAAGTGAAGATCATGTAGTCTCCTGCTGAGTTGAGAGCCGTTACACTATACCGTGGCTACTAAAAATTCAATGTTAACTATCACTTGCCTTTCCTTAGCAAGGCTGCCGAACTACTTGGCAGTAACTCATGAAAGAGGTCAGTGAAGTTCCCAAGAACAAGAACTGTAAGTAGAGGCAAGTGGGACACTTAACTCCAATTATTCCTCTCCTCCATTATCCATCTGAGGTTCTAATCTGCTTAAGCAACTGCTATTTACTTAAGCCTACTACTTGCTGCTTCATTTCTAGAAATGAAAGTGCTGGACCCTTATTCTTCCTCTTCAAGGCATTTTGCTCCTTTTAGCCAGCCATTTCTCAAGGAAAAATAGCCCCAGCTACAATCAGGTCAAGAGGGCAATGACTGTACACCATAGCTTCTTGGAAAGTCTTATCTTTGTATCTCTAGTACAAGATAATAAGTCACAGCAAAATTGCAGCTGGTAATTGGAAAACTAAATAGTTTTAAATATGAATACTCTCTCAGAATCCTGTTAAAAACTTTCATCACCATCTCAGCTTTTACAGGCCTGTTCAAGAGGAATAAGTAATCTAATCTCATCAAATTTTGACATCAGGTAGTTTCACATCAGTTTTACTTCTGACCTGATCAGTATTGGTCAGTTTTGTGTGAGAAGAAAAAAAAGAAAAAAAAAAAAAACGTTTTCAATCTCTAGTTCAC